ATGGTTAGAATTAGCATCAGTCAGTCAGTCAGTCACGATCGTCTATATATATTAGATGGTCATATATTTTGCCAGTCTAACATATATGGGGCATATATCTATATCTATAAGCAAGGATCTCTGTCTGTCTCTGTCCATCTGACGCTATGCATTCGGACACTGTTGGAGATATCGACCTGAAACCTTCGCAAGAGGGTGGGGTCTGTCCAGTAGGAGGTCATAGGGGAGTCAGGGTCAGGGGGGGCGGCTCTGGGGGTGGGGGGGTCTCGCGGTCCCAAAAAGGGTGTTCCAGGCCAGCTAGATTTCTCAAGCATTGCAGTGAATGATTGAGAGACTTTAGAATTTAGAATTTTAGAATTTAGAATTTTTTTTCAGTGCAGTAAGAATGTGTGAGAAAATGGAGTTTAGTTTTTCCTGTGAAATAAGAATATCATTGAGAAACTCATTTAAGTTAGATTTTTGTGAAAGAAGAGCCCCTTTGAGTTAATAATTAATTTAGAACAATTTTTAAAAAATAAGAAAAAAAAACAAATAAAAATAAAATGGCCAGAGCAGTGCTCCTGTCCCTGTCGGTCTGGCCGGACTTAGACAAATAAGCACTAACAAAAAAGCACATAAAGGAACAACAGCTATATTACTCCTAAAAAATATCCTGGGCAACACCGAGCAACTCAGCTTGTGAACATATAGTGCAGTTCCTATATGAGACATCTATGGGGTTTGACACAAGTTGCATAAAATCATATAAGAATGGCTCATACAATTGCACCATATATGTCATGTCACATCTTGTCTATATATGAAGTTAACATGTCTTTGTATGGTGAGAATGCCTGAAACATACCCACATCCTAAAAGGGTTCATAATCCAAATACTGTTTAATCATTTGTATGCCTGTAACCATACTTGACTTATTTTTCTTGCAATTAACTCATTTTTATTTCTTCATAGTTGATAGGCCATTCATTGAACCCATTGAGCTTGCCCTGGATGGCTGGGTTGGAATGCAACAAAATATTGATTATTTGATTAATTTATTATTTATTTTTCATGGGGATCCAGTCAGCCTAATCAGCCAGGGGAAGAAAATGATTAAAAACTTGAATATCAGCATGAAACAAGATAAGTTTACCAAATATAAAGAAAAAAAGTGGACACTAATTATTTTCCCCCAAGACCTCTATTGTTCTGGGAACAATCTAGTCTCCTCTATATAGATTCAGACTAATGTCATTTCTGATTGCAGATGCTGGGTTCAGGAGAACCTGGAGGACATGACTCTCCTCTAATTTCTGGATCAGAGGAAGATGACTATGATGCATTGAATGATGAGACTTTTGGTGGTGATGCATTGAATGGTGGGTATGACTTTTCTTATGGTCATTATCTATGTGCCTGGGTATAGGACTAGACTGTCAAATGCATGGTGTGTGTTCGAGATATAGGAGACGCTGATGTGGTTTTATCACCCATTTGTCACATTTAGATCATATGTTCAATAGTATTGTTCAATGACTCCATGTTTGCTCCTTAAAATGTAATGAAATTTGTCTTTCATTCAGCCTTGGAGGTCAATATTGATAGGGGTCATTAGAAAGGTCAGGGCTAACTTATGATTCATATTCTTCTGATGGCTAGTAGGTGAACCTTGTAGTAAATGGATAGCATCTGTGCAACATCCAGTTTTGGGACAGAATGAATTTTTACACAAATGCAGCTCTCATTGACAGCTTCACAAACTATATTTTAATTTATCCTCAATCTCCCACAATCTCTCTCATGAATCAGACTCTGAATTAAGCTCCATGAACTTTATCCTGGGGTTAGCTAGGATTCCTGCAAACTCTCAAGAGCTCTCTTTCAACTCCCCTCACTTTACCATATATTGGCTTTATTTACTCATGGGCATACATGCACAGTATTTTGATCTAGCCCGACAGCTTTATATTTTATACAGATACCTCCTACAAGAGCTTCTGATAAGCTCATGACCAGGGAATTTATAAAGGTCTGAAAGGCTGGCAGTATGAAACTATCATCAATGACTTTTCAAAACTGATATACTAAAATCCTTTAGAGAATGTTGAGACTGGCCACAGTAGCTGAGGCTCTTATCATATCCATCATCGACAACTGTTGCAGAGCTAAGGATTTAGGATGAAGTCGCTAATATTCAGTATGAAAATCTAATAGAGTGTAATGAACCCATTAAGTGTTTTAATTTTGGTAGCCACATGTACAATCTGATTTATTTTTATATGTCAAGTCCTTGTGCACTGACATGCAAAATTTACCATAACCAAGCACCCAGGACACACGTAATATAGTTTGGAAAACTATCAGTTTACAAGATGATGTAACAGATGTGTTATATTATTTTAAAACAAATGCTGTGCAGGAACAAGATGCCTAGCATTACATAAAAAACACTTGAATTGGTTGATTTTTACAGATACCACATCCATGTCAGGGTTGCAGTTGCCACAATAGTTTCGTTCAATCTTGCATCACTTTTTGATACAGCTAGATCTTCTGTCAATGAGGAGTGCTGTAGGTTTTTCACAGAAACAAGGCCACCCTCTCATATGATGTGGTGTGATTAAAGTACAGGTGTCAGATTGTGCTATTATCCTCAAGATTAGCCTGACCAATATTGGGAAGATAAGTCCTCCCTTGTTAATTGCATTCCTTAAGATATCTCTGATGCATATGCCAGGTCTGTGAGTGTAGTTATGGTTTACCTTAGAGACCTAAGGAAGTCACAGTCATGAGCTTCATTAAAGTGGTATGCAATGATTTTTTAAATGAAACTCTGGCAGCACTCCCAACATATATGTGTATTCCATTTCATCAAGATGTCTTAATGAAATTAATGAAAAATACAATGGTAAGTTCCTTTTGTTGAACAATGTAAAAACAAACCACAACAAAACTTGAGTCCTCAGGATTTCATTTGGTGTGAAAAAAATGAACTTTGGCATTCATTGATCTCCAAAATTCATTATCATCCTGCATTTTCTTTCACAGCAATGTATAAAGCAATCTTTCCTATGTAAACAAATTTCACAGTTCATTCCATGTCATCCTGAGCTAAATGAGACCTTTAGAAATCAAAGACACCCTTCTGCACCAACCATGCATATCATCATATCAGATCAATATGATTCTATCTGCAATTCAGGCAATTTAAAAATAAGTAACTTCAAATTTCAGCACCCTCTCAAGGTCTTATGTTACTCTTTCACCATTCATGCTTCAAAGTGGCCTTACATTATTAGTGTTTAATACAATAGTAACACATCAAATGAAGCACCTTTTATGGAGATAATTGATTTGAAATTGGGCCAATTTCCAAAAGTTAAATAGTACCTTGTTGACCTAAGATGATGACATGTTAGTGCTTGGAACTCATTTTTGAATCTGAAATCCTTATTTAATGTGCATGTAAAATGAACATGTTTCAAAACATTGTGTTGATGAATGAAATATGTAATTTAACATCACTGCATTCCATGTCATCCTACTTTGTGCAGAGTGATACCTCCTCCTCTATCACCATGAAATATCCTCTTTAGTCTCTACTGTTTTCCCATTTAAAATGTTCTCTTTGAAATATTAGCTGCATCACTTTGAAGGATTTCTTGGAATTAATTGCTGACTGTTTTCCTTCTTTTGTCTGCACATGACTGGATTTTCCACTCCAGTGAATATATATTGAATAACGTATAAAAATCCAAATGTTCAGAAATCTGGACCCCAGGACTAAAGAGGATATGAAAACAGAGATAATAGCACATCTTCAGGTGCAGAAACCATGACTGTGAAGCCATTGAACTTTAACATTAGAAAGATAAAAAAGAAGCATGAGTATGGCCTTGTTCACACCAGAAAGTTTTCTATGCGATTTTTCATGAATGTGAAAGTCCAGTAGAATATAGAGAAGGTGAAAGTGGACATATCAATGAGGAGTGGAGCAAGCAGTGCTGAAATTTGGTCGCTTGCCTGCATGCTCTTTTTTTTTTTTTTGACCGACGTTTGGGAAGTAAAAGCTATTTGATAAATGTGGCAAATTCATTTTCAACACAAAACATTGAATAATCGATGGCATGGGGAAAAAACCTAATAGACTTTCTTAGTTCATGGTAAAGCCCACTGCCAGGGAACAATGCCAGTTTCAGAGGAGAAAAACTCATGCAATACATGCAATTTGGTGATATGAAAATCAGGATATTGTTAAGTGCAAAATGACAATCACAGTCACAGCACATCACAACATATTTTAGAAGTGGCCACTGCCGTGTTCAACACACAAGCGTGCATGTTGGCAGGCAAGCAGGCAAAGCATGTTGCTGGAGACAGATCGTAACACCACTGGCTGAATGCTGGCAATAGTGCATTGCATCTCTTCCAGAAAGTGGGGATTGTTTGCATATGCCTGGGATTTAATGTAGCCCAACAATAAATAATCCAGTGATGATGTCAGGTGAGTGTCAAGGTCATAATCCTTTATACATCATGCAACAGCAGAAAATGAATTAAACATTCAGCCAGCATTGTTACAGTCTGTCTGACAACATGCTTCGCCATGCATGCTTGTGTATTGATCATGGCAGTGGCCACTTCCAACATATGTTGTGACGTGTTGGGACTGTGATTGTCATTTTTCACTTTACAACATCCTGGTTCACATAACACCTTTTGATGTGTCTCTGAGATATTATTCCTTTTTTAATATGCATTTCTTTGGGTTAACTGGTAAAATGAACACCCTGTACAAAGCATCACAAACTTCTGGGATGAAGGAAGATATGGATTGTTCTGACACGTGATAGAGTTACATGGTAAAGGCTGGTGAAGCTGTCTTGCTCGCCAAAAGTCTCAAAGTAATTAACAGCCTCTCTCCAGCCGAAATGGACTCACGATAGGGAGTGGCCTTTCATGAAATAAACGGTCCAATTTGTCTCGGGAGCCCCTCAAAATCCTGCCCACTCATTCATACAAAATTCTTGAATCCAAGGGGGCCTTCAATCTGAAGCTCTCTCATGAGAGAAAAATAAACACCATGTTCATGTTGCTGCTGCCCAAATCGAGTGGCGTTCCTCCATTTTCTCTTTTTTAAAAAGAAGAATCGTGACGACTTTCACTGCCACACGTTGATTTCCTTGTGATGGGAGCCATCTTGAATTCTTCACTTACATAAACATTGGTATGGAGAATGCTCTGACAAAGAAAAGTCCTTGCAGAAAGAACTTTCAAAGATGTCCACACCATGAAAGTTTTATTTGCAAGTCGACTTGCAAAGAAAACTTTCATATGAAAGTTTCTGGTGTGGACTATCTCTGAAAGTTTTCTTTCAAATTTTTCTTTTGCAATATTCTTTCATTGTCTATGCAAGAAAACTTTCCTGGTGTAGATGAGCCTCATGAGAAGATCAATACAAAGAATGTTGTATTTTTAGAGTCTTAGAATTAAAGAAGCCCTGTGAATAAATCAAATCCTGTGATGATTTTGCAGGGGACTGGGAAGAGGATCATGAGAAATTGGCCGAGGTGATTGAATTGGGAAGGGGAGCAGAGTTCCCCTTATCTAGAAAAGAGGTGAGTTCTCTTGCAGGCTGAGCAAGTTATCATATCTTTATTGTTCTTCATTTTTATATTCTATCTAATGATGAATTTATCATCATAATATTCTCTCATTTTTTTATTCTTCATTCTATATAGTGTTGCATTGGCATCCTCTCTGGCAAACTTCATATACAGGGTGATTATAAAGTCATTTCTGCTGTGTTTGTCACTGGTATGTACACACTATTTGGGGATACACCTTAATTTGGAGATGTTAAATGAAGTATGCAGATGAGGATGGATATCATTTCAGGAGTGCATGTCTTTGGGGCACTAGACCAGGTCACCTTTATGGAAGATGGTTTCCTGCCCAATATTGCCAATCCAATGATGGACCCTGCCTGGATGAACTTTGCCAACAGAATAATCTGATAGACAGCCTCTTGCCTTGATTTCCCTCTTGTAAAAAAAGGGGCCCTGAGGGGTTTTACATGAAAGTAAAAATTTTTACTGAAATCAATACTTGGAGAACTACATGCCCACCAAGTTTCAGTCTTATACATTTGCCCTTTTCTCTGGCAAAAAATGCTTGGAAAAGCCAACTCACCCAAAAGCTATGCCCTAAGGGGATGCACCACAAATGCTGAGTTTTCCCTGGACTCAACATTGCATCAGTTATGTGTGTGTCAAGTTTCACCTTTCTATTCTGCCTAATTCACTAGGAAAACAAAAATTATTTGAAAGCATCACCCCCAAAAAATATGCCCCCAGGCAATGCATCTGAAACTTGACATTTTTCCTGAACTCAGTGTCTCAGTAGACACATTCTTGTCAAGTTTCAGCTTTCCATGTCTCTCCATTTCACTGAGTAAAAAATATTTATTTTAAAACATTAACCCCCAAAATATGTGCCCCAAGGGTGATATACCTCCAAAGTCTGATTTTTTCTGTACTCTGCATCCCAATAGCTACTTGTGTACCAAGTTTCAGATTTCTACCTTATATAGAACATGGTTAGAATTAGTGTCAGTCAGTCACTCAGTCATAATCGTCTATATATTTTAGAAGAGATTGATCAGAATGTCCCTGATTAGTTTCTTGAATGCGTGAGTTAATTACTTTGAATCCAGATGTGTATGCATATATTGTACTTCAATTACATCTGGAAATTTTGATTTTGAAAAAATGAATCTATTGTATCATTGTAGAATTATATTTACTGTATCATTGTAATTACCCTACCCATTGAAGAATGAGAGAATTACAAAGTGATCATCAGATAGATAAATCAATTTGTTTTAAAAAGTGTAGTTTTTACATGACAGGATGGAAGTGAAGACAGGACAGAGAAAATGGTTGCAATGAGAAGGAATTTTGATGAGGAGGAAGAGGAGAGAAGAAGAGGGTCAAGGAAGGAGATGGAAGAGTTTGAAGATGGGTTTATTGCAGCAAGCATTCAGCAGTTAGTGCTTGATGATGACTTGGATGACCCTGCCATCATGAACAAGAAGCCATCTATGCCACGCCCTATCCCCTTTCCCAAGGTAAATTCCCATTGTCTTGGCAACAGCAAGGATTGTATCCAAGAGAAAGCTGAAGTCAGATGATCAACATAGCCCTGGATTCATTTGGTTGAACTTATATTCTTTCACTCCAAACACAGTGTTCTCTGTAAAGAAACTCTGACTTTCATTTGTGGGTGACTAAGAGGTCCCTCTATTTATGACATTATTTTGAAATTCACTTTTTTGTTCAGCCAACAGAAGAAAAAAAATGAGTGTAACAAGATGGATGTACGAGGGGAGGTCAAAAAGTTCTGCAACTAAGGTACTTCCAGTTGCAATGTACCATTCTTACTCTTATCATGGGAAGACAGATGTCTTTGAGGGTGACTGGCAGAATTTCATCTTATTTACCGATTTAAGTATAGCTTCTATTAATTATTTTCAATGTGCTACTGAAGGGTCTGCTGAAGGGGTATTAAAATTGAGACGAATGCTGTGAGGAATTTTCTAACCTCCAGCCAACCGGCCACCAGCCAACCACCCAGCAGATCTTTCAGAGCAGACCCTTCAGTAGCACATTGAAAATAATTCATAGAAGCTATCCTTAATCAGCAAATAAGGTGAAATTTCACCAGTCACCCTCAAAGACATCTGTCTTCCCATGATAAGAGTAAGAATGGTGCACTGCAATTGGAAGTGCCTTGGTTGCAGAAATTGTTGACCTCCCCTCGTATGTCTCTTGATGAACCTACCTAACTTTTGGTAGGACCAAAACATCCCCCTGATGATGAAGAATATTTTGAACCTTCCAGTCATCTTGCTTCAAATCTAATACCTTAATTAAAAGAGGCCGATGGCTGTGGTGGCTGTCACCTCTAACGTACAAGGCCTACAATGCTATGCCAATCTGGGTCATAGGCTATACCAAAGAAATTGAAAGAAGCCAATATTTTTCTCAAATTGATTCCCAAAATAAATTATTTTTCCTCATTTGTCAATTTTTGAATTTGAAATGGTCTTACCTATTCATGATTCATTCCTTTATTTGTGATTTATTTATGAAGTGTGATCTCGATAATAAAATTAGTTGGGTGGCATCACTTTTGAACTTCTCGAACTTTGTTTGAAAATTTTTCATTTTTGGTTTGAACTGAACTGCTTCATATCTTTATGTAAACACTTTCAAATTTCCGCCCATTAGACGGCCAGTGTAGCAGCCACACACCACTAGTGTTTGCGTGACAACTAAGGACAGTGTTGACTGAGAAAGAAATGGGAAGATTGTGACACTCATTCCAAAAGGAGAGATGGCTTCCTCCAGACCTTTTTTCATGCTCCATTTGCCAAATTTGTATGGTATAGAGTGCTATTTTTTTTGTGTTTTTTAATGCGTAGGATGGGGGAAGTCGGGGGTTGTCACCCCCACCATCAGGCTTATTTGGGTCCCCTCACCAGCCAAGCATTTGGGCCATGGACCAGAGGGCATCACCAAGTCTGAGTCTCAGCTCATCCCTTGATGACCCCTGCATCATCAAGGCAGGCACCAAGTATCCCATCTCATTCCCAACCCCATCTTCACGTGCCCCACTATCTACTAGCCTTCCAAAGGTACTTTCATGGTACCATTTATCCTATTTGATAGAATCCTTCTGATACCTGTTAATTTAATCCAAGATGTACTTTTTTAATTATTTTTTGGCATGCCAGCAGCAATGCTATGGTCCTTAAGCATAGCAATAACTCAACCCTTGGTATGAGGTCATAATGGATAAAGCCTAATTAGGCTGTAGCATATGATTTTGAGCTGCTGTGACAAAACCCAGCCATGAAACAAACTATTTGAAGAATTGCACTTTGTCTCAACAAAAAAAAAAACCTGTTAAGTTTGTTAAATATCTCCATATGATATTGTGTGAGTGCCATGTTTTTCTGGACATATCTCAGATAAATCAGAAATAATTCTATCATATTATAAATGAAACTCATTACTCCAAATGCAATAATTTTAATTATTTTATTATAAATTAATTATTTAATTATTTGTTTTGAGACAGAATCAGCAGTGACACAGAGATTTCTTTTGGCCAGCAGGTGCTTCCCAACATGCGGACAGTGAGTGAAGTGGAGAGGGAGGCCCTCAGTCCCAGTCGACAGTTGGTCCACCCAGGATTCCCATCTCAAACACCTAAAGTGCGAACACTGGATGATGTGGAGCGGAGCATGTTGGAGCGATCTCAAGGGCCCCGTCCTCCAATGCCACCCATGGTTTTCCCTCCCAACCTTCCCCCACCCCCGGGTTCTCTTCCATTCCTCCCGCCAAGACTCCCACCTCATGCCATCAGCCCCATGAGGCCTCCTCATGGTATACTTTTTGCTTCTCTTGCTCTTTCCCCTCTCCTCAGGTGTCCATATTATGTGGGCACATTGGATATGAAAATTTTGCTTGCTTGCTACCCTACCCTACCCTAGCCTACCCTGTACCCTTTCATCTGAAACTGCCTTGCTGTCTGGCAGTAATGCAGCAAAATTCTTCATACCTGTGGCTTCACTTGCATGGAAACAAGTGAATAAGATGGTTGGAACAAGGAAAATCAAAAGAATCTGGAGTAAAGGCTCAGGAACAAGATCATAGATATTATCCAACTTTAGTCCCCCAACCCACTGATGTCTTTGCCTGAATGCAGCTGTAATGCAGATGAAGTGCTTTTGCAACTGCTGAATGTGCCTCTCTGATGGGATGATAGAGAACAATCAAATGCTAGAGTTCAATGTTGCATGGTACAGTGTAGGTTGTTTATATCAATGTCTTTCACTGGGAATATTTATTGAGGAAGCACATTTATGTTTTGCAGCAGAGAAGGGATTTAAACCCCTTCAAAACAATTTTAGGAAACTGGAGTCCTTGCTTTGTGGGCTGTAAGGATTGACTGAATAACAAAAGCATAGTATCAATGTAGAAAATTTCAGAGCATGAGTAATTGCTTGTAACATGTACGAGGGTCACTCAATAAGTTATCTACCTGAATAAGAAAGAAACATCCAAGGGGAAAAATAACACTTTAATTTTCAATGTAGTCACCTTTTAACTCAACACACTTATTCCACTTTGATTCCAAGGATTTCATTCCCTGGGAATAGAAGTTAACTTCTTGTCCATCAAACCAATCAGAAACGGCAACTTTCAGCTCTTCATTGCATGAAAATCTTTTTCCCAGCAAAATTTTTTTCAAGTGTCTGAACAGAAAATAGTCACTAGGAGCCAGATCCGGGCTGTAGGGAGGATGGTTGAGCTCCTGAAAGCCATACTCCCTCACTGCTGCCTGAACTTTCCATGATTTGTGGACCGGTACGTTGTCATAGAGAAGAAGGACCCCCC